ATTAAAGAGTATGTTAGGGCTGAATCTGAATGTACACCCTGTGGTGAGAAATTGTGTGATATAAGAAAAGTGTGGTTTGCAAGATGACGTTGTGACCAGGATTAAGATAGTAACGTTTCTGTGGCTTGGTCATGTAGAAAGAGTGAACGAGGAAAGAGTGACAAAACAAATGTTGCGGAAGTGAACGACAGAGTCGGCAAGGGACGCCCTAGATGAAAGTTTACCGACCAAATTGGAGATATATTCAAGATGAGCTACATTAAGAGTACCCTTATTCGATTAGCATGTATGCGTAGGTATATGGATGGAAAGGAAGGGAGAGAAGTGTGTCAGGATCGTGCCAAATGGAAGCCCGTAGTCTTTTCCTACATTTCTGGGTAACGGGCGCGAGTGTTTATGTATGTTTATGTTTTTATGTCCCACTTGGCAGCGGGGTTCACAAACGTAGTTTTCTATTTTTAGTTGTTATTAGGAAGACACTCGGAAGTTTCCTCACCTATCAAGCACGTGGTAAATCAGCACTACAGATTGCAATTAATAATAATTGTTGTTGCTGGCGAGGATCGAACTGGGCTTGCTCGCGCTCTATCAAATCTTAGCGAGCGTTTATTCTCTGTGCTGCCAAGAATTTCAGTATCTATTTGACTGCCTCGTTGCTCTAGTGGCCGGGAACGCGTTTGCTGGTCATGAAGTCCCGGGTCGGGGCAAAATCAGCTATTAGGTTGATCTGTCAAGAAATTCTCAGTAGCGGCTTGGAGTAAGGAAGTTGGCGGTGTTTCGCCCTCGTGCCTCGGAAAGCACGTAAAGCCAGCAAAGTAGTCCAGCGCCTGATCTCTCTCCGGTCGTGCCGGATTACTGTCTCATCGAACTATGAGAGTGAGGGAATTATATATGTAAAAAAATAAAAAATAAAATAACAATAAAAAAAGCATCCATTTCTTTTTCCAAAAAATATCTGATATTAGAAAGAATTCAATACGCACCCACTACATAAATAAGTTATGTTGCATAAAATGTAAAACGTCACTAATGAAAAAAAGCTTCTTTGGTATTGCCCCACAAAATAATAAACTACCTGATCCAATAAAAATATGACCTTATTTAAATTTATAAAGGTAATGAATGAGTTATTAGTCGACAAATCTATACAAATAAATAAAATTGAAGTGTCTGTCTGTAATGTCAAAATTACAGCTTTTTATTAATTGCATATGAAAGTAAATATCGTACGGTACTTATAACGAAAACACAATTTTTAAAATTTTTGTCTGTCTGTTTGTTCCGGCTAATCTCCGAAACGGCTGAACCGATTTTAACTTGACTTTCATTAGCAGGTAGCCGATTTCATAAGGAGTAACTACTTTTATTTTAGAAAAGAATTAGGGTTCCGCACAAAAACATAAAAACCCTAACACGCGAGCGAAGTCGCGGGGAACAGTGTTACTATAAAATTTCTTGAATGACAATTTTGACTAGTTACTTTTTATTGACTATTATTATTTTTGTTATTATTATCAATCTAATTTTATAAATATAACTTAATCTTAGATTTAAAAATTAGAATAGAAAAAATTAAAAAGTGGAAAAATTTAATTTAAACTTAGCAGTGTTATTTACATACATAATTGTATTCAAACTTATTAAATAATATGATAAGATTAGTATAATTAATCATAATTTTGACATTGTTTAATTTGTATGAAATATTTTAAATTCGATTGTACGAGTACGTGTTATTAAAAATATTATATTTTGACTTCATATAACTTCAAGATATTTAGTACGACAGCAATTAGCCCTATGGACTTTACTCAACTATTAAAATTTTTTTTCTTCATATTTTTCTTTTGATTTAAAGGCACCATTATTTAATTAGTAACGCGTAGTGCAATATTGTATTTGCACACCTCATAAGGTAATAATACAGTGTACATATTCTAATTTTCTGTAACAACTTTTATACCTGTATTATACAAATAAATGAATTTGATTTGATTAGAGAGTGCATCTGTGCTTGCGCATACACTCGGGCACTTTAATCCTGTCCTGCGCAGGTGACTTTTAGTGGAGATTGGCCGTCGTGATCGAAATTCATTAATAATTAAGCTATTTGTTTTTTTGTATTGCATATTCGCTTGCTTCTTATAAATATCGACCTTTCCTTGTATTCACTATAAGACAGCTTGGGTTTTTCGCAATCAGCTACGGCCCCGACAGTTTTTTGCAGTCTAAACTGGTATACATAATATGTCGACAGATGTAACTACGCATTTATTCTTTCTATATATTTAGCAATCATAAAATCCAGATGTACATTGTGGATTTTTCTAGCCTTTGTCATGTTGTACTCGTATGGTTTTAAACACGTTTATATTAGATTCGCGTGTATCTATTTATGTAAGGGAATTTTTAATGTAATTTTCACCAACTTGTCGGCCGCCTGATTGACTTGAGAATTTGCACTCGCATCAAGGACCGACAACAATACAATAATTTAATAACTTTATCCTAGTATCCCGATCAGGATCACCAGGATAAAATGAAATAACGTGGTAGAGCCATGCAGCAGCTATATTAGTAGTATAGTTGTAGCACGAATAGGTCGGCTCGACCGAGGTAGGACCACACTCTCACAGAATACCAACCTAAAATAGCAGCTAAACTCTGCTGTGTTTCGTATGGTTAGTGTAGAGAACCGGAGACCCTTTTTACTGGAAATGAGGCATTCCATCTTAGTCCTCACGGGTGACAACGTATCTGCATTTTGATTTTTAATAGAGGATATATATGTAGATGTCTATGGGCCGCAACAACCACTTACCATCAGGTGGACTGTGTGCTTGTTTGTCACCCTTATCCTATAAAAAAAATATTTATTTTTTTATAGACTGGGGGTGACAACGAGCATACGTAGTCCACCTGATACTAAGTTTTTTTTTTTTTTTTTTTTTTTTTTTTATAGGATAAGGGTGACAAACGAGCACACAGTCCACCTGATGGTAAGTGGATGCTGGGGCTCATAGGCATCTCTACATTTATCTTCGATTAAGAATCAAAATGCAGATGCGTTGTCACCCCTGAAGACTAAAATGGAGCGCCTCGTTTCCAATAAAAGGGGTCTCTGGTACTCTACACTCACCATACAAAAGACAACAGCATTAAGCTGCTATTTTACACTGGTATTCAGTGAGAGCGTGGTCCTTCCCCAGTCGAACCGACCTATTCGTGCTACATCCATAAAATAGCTGCATCGTGGCGGCTCTACCACGTAAGTTATGAGGTTATAGCTTAAGTTTTTTTTATTTTTATATTATTATGGAAATTTTGTAAAAATAATTTGTGTAATCGGCCACGCATTTCTCGTTAGGTGGATACAACTCCGAGTAAAGAATGCTTGATTTTTTTCTAATTAAAATTTCACTAGCTTTACCCTCTGAGTTGTATTTCCTAGGATTTTTTGGTCATTACTGAAAACTCATACCGAGTAACGACCTTTTTTGGCACGCCTTCGACGCACAAAGCCAAATTTATTAAATTTCGTTTTTTGTCATGAATTTGTATAATATTGTACTAACGTCAATTTGTCTGTGCCAAAATAAAGTATTTGTTTCTTTCTTTTTCTTTATTTCTTTATAATTTCTGCGACAGACAAGAGAAACAATTAGCTCAATTAAATATCATTCAAAAAATATAATATAATACTTGCTGATACCCGCGACTTCGTCCGCGCTGCTTGATATATCAAGAAAATACACATAACTGAACAGTTTATAAAAATTGTTGTTTTCAAAACTGTAAGAACTTTATATTAAATGAAGATATCGCAATATTTTTTTAGATAAGGGCCAAGTGTCTAAGAAACAAAACTTAGAAAACCTAATTAAAATCTATGCAGTATTTTTTTTTATATTATAAGGGTGACAAACGAGCACGCAGTCCACCTGATGGTAAGTGGTTGCTGCGGCCCATAGACATCTACATCTATCCTTTGTTACAAATCAAAATGTAGATGCGTTGTCACCCGTGAGGACTAAGATGGAATGCCTCATTTCCAGTAAAAAGGGCCTCCGGCAAGGTGGCCGGTGCAAGTGCAGGTGCACTCACCAAGCGAAACGCAGAGGTAAACCTCTACTTCACGCCGGTTTTCTGTGAGGTCGTGGTACTACCCCGATTCGAGCCGGCCCATCCGTGCGACAGCAAAAGCTGCCACGTGGCTCTACCACTGTATAAAAGTAGATTCCCATTTTGCCTACAATTGTGTGCACTATCACTATTACCACTAAATCGAACACCATGCTATATTATTTTTTATAACAATCTTATCAAAATAATTATCGACGGCTTCGTTGCGGTTCGGTTTATTGGCTATTGGTTTAGCAATGAGTTACGACACAAAGGGGGCGCGAGTTCGAATCCCACACGGAACGAGTATTTGTATGGCCTACAAATAACATTTCGTTTGTGGTTCGTGTTTGTCCTTGTGAAATTTATGTATGTAAACTGCCATTACAGCATATGAAAGTTTTTTTTTTTATAGTAAAAGAGTGACAAACGAGCACACAGTCCACCTGATGGTAAGTGGTTGCTGTGGCCCATAAACATTACATCTACCCTCGATTATGAATCAAACTACAGATACGTTGTCAGCCGTGAGGACTAAGATAGAATGCCTCTTTTCTAGTAAAAAGGGTCTCCGGTTCGGCACTCACCATACGAAACACAGCAGCATTACGCTGCTATTTTGCGCTGATATTCCGTGAGAGCGTGGTCCTCTCCCGGTCGAGCCCACCCATTCGTGCTACAACTATACTACTAATATAGCTGCAGCATGGCTCTACAACGTAAAAACATTCTAGTGTTGGGTACCGTTTAAAAAAATACTTCAAACCCTAGCGGTAAATTATACACCATCTTTCTGTTTTATATCGATCACCATCTTCAGTAATTATAACTTAAGTCAGTCTATCAGACAGTCGTTAACTGTTGTCATCACTGTCCAGCAATCATCATTATCGACGAAGATGGCTCAGCGCATGTCATTTGGCCTGCTGGGGGGGATGGGCCGTGGTGCTACACGGTGCGAGTTTGTACGCATGAAGGGCCCTGGAGGCAAGGGTCACGCGGAAGTGGCGGTGTCCAGACCCCGAGGCACCGCAACGCCTGGCTCCGAGCCGGGGCTTGCGGCACCCTGGCCGGACGACATGGACGACCCTGAGGATATGTTCCTCTATCGACATCAGGTATATATAAAAACTGCTAAGAACATAAAAGGTAAGAAGGGCAGTAATCTGCAGGAATAAGAAATCAAAATCCATCATTAGCTACTTAAAATGTAAATCAATATTTTTTATAGAATTAGTGTGACAAACGAGCACACAGTCCACCTGATGATGGTAAATGGATGCTGTGGCCCATAGATAAAATATTTACTTAAGAATGACAGTTAGTCTTGAAGAAAACAAACCAATCAATAGAATCAGGTGTAAGTTCGAGGAAATACTTTATATTAAAGATATTAAAAATTAACTAGCCAAGATCCGCGTAATATAATAAAATGATGTGTCTTACCTAGTTTGAAGAGCACCTTCCCACTCCCCCTCCATTGCGTGAACTATCCCTGTCACCACCAATCCCAACACAACTACACTAGGAAAAACACACCACCATCGATAATGCGACTCGTAGGGGCGAAACCCTAAACGAGGCATCATCACTGAAACAGACTGCGGTGGCTGACCGCTACATCTTATTAAGCTGTTATTATAGTGGTGTTGGAATTAGTGGTGACGGGGATAATGCACGCAATGGAGGAAGTGCGGGAGGTGCTCTTCAAATTATGTCCATGTTTAAGAACAAATAAGTTAACTAAATCAGCGTGACGGTTAATTATTTATTTATTTATTTACTGATTATCTCACGGCATATTCCAGCGTCGGTTGAGTGATCCAAGTGCAAACATCACCACATTCAATCGTGGAGGCTGGCGCACGCGGGATCCCACCGACCACAGCCGCTCCGAAAATGATGGTCTGGATTCAATGATGGATGGCGTGGCCGAAGTGGAGGCTGGTGACCTTCGTGACGGTGAGTTTGCCGATCTTTTCCCCATTTTTTACTCATCAAACAAACATTGGTGTTTAGTTTGCAGGTTAGTACTTTCTGGATTTAGCTCACTGTAAGTACCTATTTTATTGAATTTCTTGATTGTATTATTATTGAATTTTTCATTAATGTCTTGAATCATTAGTGTCTTGTTTCATTATGTTTTTTTACGGCATATTTCCCTTAGTCCGTCGAGTTATTACGAAGTATTTCGGTTTTGTTTTTCTTTTTAACTATTTAATTTTCTAATCTACCCAGTTATAAATATTGCCACTTGCTCTGTGTCATTAGGTTACGTTAAATAATTTTAGATCGTCAAACAAATACACAAATACAAAATAATAACAAATATTTATATTTTAATTATAACGCAGCAATAATCAACAGTCCATTCAACAAAGTGTTCAAAGACAGTGGAAAGACAAATATACCTACGTGATAAGAACATTTCATATTCAAAAGATCAACCACGGCAAGATAAGTTAGATTTCATTTTCGTTCTCCTATGTTAAAATTTTTGCGTTTGTGTAATGATAACAAATACAATCTGTGTCCTCACACTAATATAGAAAAATATATAGAAGGAGCTCTGTATACATTTTAAGTGATGCCGAAACCATGCTCAACTTTTTGGCACTCACGCTCATATCTTTCTTCTTTCTTTCTTTATCAACCTGTAAACGTTGAATGACGGACGCACACACATGCATCTAAACTACTTTTTATTTATAGAATAAGGTTGACAAACGAGCACACAGTCTACCTGTACCTGGTAAGAGAATGTTTTATACTACTATACTTAATAGTTGAAGATTAATATGGGACACTAGTCCCATAGTAATCTTCAACTATCCTCGATTAAGATTCAAAATGCAGATAGTTTTTCCCACCCCTGAGGACTGAGATGGAATGCCTCGTTTCCAGTAAAAAGGATCTCCGGTTCTCACATACACTACACGAAATACAGCAGCCTTAATCTGCTATTTTACGCTGATGATTTTAGATGCATGTGTGTTCGTGTTCTAATAGTAAAGTTTGGCATGCTCCTGGTCAGGTTTTTGCATCATTTGAAATGTGCAGTGCAGCGCAGTGCTCCGTCTTTGTTTCTTTATTAGTTTGACTTTGTATCATATAGATATATTATTTTAACGCTCTGTATCATACGATCAGTCGTATTTATTTTTAGATATTCTGTTTTGTTTATATCACGTAATTGTTAAGACACTTAGATTTTTGTACTCTTTACTTTGCATTTGTTAAAAAATTGATTTGACTCCAATCAAATTGACAACATATCCCTTTTATTAATAGCATAGGATTTACTCTTGATGTCGTTTACTTTGTTGTCCTTGACCTTGTGCTCACGTACTCGTATGTCGCATGTAGTGTATCCATTCACCATGATTGTACATAACCTTATTGCTTCATGCTTTATCAGTGTTGTCGCATCACTAGTTTATTTCTCTTCATGTATGAGACGCTCGGAGGAAGCCAGTTAGACGCGATTTACGTTTCACGCGTTCGGGAATTGAAATGTAGAATTGACATTTTTAATAAAATTTGATTTATTTGTTACCGAATTTCCGTTCACGCGCTGTTAAATTTCACGTTGTGTGGTAAATGTTTATTTTGAACACTTCACGTGTATGTACTATTTGGCAAGATCGTTGTTTGCATTGTTTCGCTAAAATAGATCTTGTGCCGGTCTCACGAAAGCTAGCTCAAGTACCGTTACTAAAGGAAACGATTAATGTCTCGGAAATAGAAACACTTGTAGTAATTAAAACGAAGCGGGATATCGAGTTCGGTTGCGAGCGTAACCTTTGCAAGCGTGTCAGATATGAAGGTTAGCATTGTGTCCCGTTCCTAAATAAAAGAAACGTTACGTTTTGAGTTACGATCCGCTCTGTTAAAATATGAAATACATTAAAGAACCGTTTGTATTTGTATAGCATACGAGTAAGATACGCGAGGGTAATATGGTTAATTTTACATTTACTGTTCTATAAAACCTAAATTAAAAAGAGGACGGAGACAAAAACACAAAGTCGCATACTATAAGTAATATATTTAGAAAAAAAAGAAAATAAGCTTTGGCCATCATTAAGAACTAAAAAAAGTACAACTTAAAAAAACAGACAATGACTATATTTACTGTACTCTTATATTGATTGACTCATGAAGAGCTATCGTATCACAGAGCCATCTATGCAAACAAGACTATAGTTTTTGAGTTCTAAGAAAGTGATCATATTAACCGGATAACCATATTACCATCACGTACGCTATTGTTCCGGGTCTGAATGTTTGTCCTTGTGCATTTATGTATATATAAACTGCCTTCACGATACAGGGGAATGTCCTAGTGCTAGATAACGTTTCAAAAAGTAAAAAACCAATTTGTCCGACAATTTAAAACTACAAAAACTATATTCGTTTTAATTCACCATCGGTACCTTCTTAACGGGTCGTAACATGAAACGGAAACGGTCGTCACATTAGTCGTGAGTGGTAACGCGTGTTTGTCGTCTGTCCGTAGCGCGGCGCGGCTCTCAGGCTTCCTCCGCGCGGTGGCGCTGCTGCGCGGGCGGGGGCGGGGGCGGGGGTAAGGCGGGGGGCGCGGGGGGGTGTGAGCGCGACATGCGCGAGGTTTACGCGCGGGAGACGCGCGACACTTCCACGCCCGCCTGCCTCCGAGACGTGGCTCCTCGTCGTCGCCCATTAAGTCGCGCCGCTGTCGCTCCCCCTCCCCTACGCCCGCTCCCCCCTACCCGCTCCCGTCGCCCCGCTCAACCGGTGGACGACGATTGCGAACTGGCTCACGACGCCGCCTCCCTCGACTGCCCCGATGAGAACGATTATGAAAAGGTGGTGAAAATGGTGCCGGGGCCGACGGTGCGCGGCACTGAAGAGCACGCGACCGCTCGCTATGTGTCCGGGGACGCGGCGGGGGAGGGTGGGGGGTGTGGCGCGGGGGGTGGCGGGGGGTGGAGCGCGGGGGCGCGCGCCTACGTGACGCTGCCGCGACGACAGCGCGGCGTGGCCGCGGCGCTGTTCCGACGGACTCGACTCCCGCCGAGAAGAACGACACCCGATGGCACCGACATCTACTACTGGTGTGACTTGCCGCCGCGTGCGTTACACGGTATTGCATTACAATACAATAAATTTATTTCAGGCATCAAGGACTTAAAAATTAAGAACATTGGTCCATAGCAATATATATATATATATATATATATATATATATATATATATATATATATATATATATACCTTTTACGCACTTGCTTTGCATTTTATCTCCACTGTTGATGTGTATTTATTTTATACTACCTGCCTGTCTGCCATATCGTTGTCTTTTGGAAGTGCTAAATGTTACTCTCAAATGATTTTTTACAAAGCTTTAGATAAACAAGCATTAATGTTGTCAACAACTCATTAATAATATTTACGTAAATTTACGAATTCTAACTCAATGTTATCTTAAGTATAGGAGTTCCACTAGGTTCACTTTTAGGTTAAAATTATTCTTTATTGATGTTTTTATAAAAACTTTTGTCAACGTTTCTATTATTTTTCCAATCGATTTGGCAATTTATTTTCTTTATTAGATTACTCGGTGATTAATTTGAACTTGGCCCAGTGTTTTTACTATCGCGCTAAACCATTTTATAAGTTTAGGTAGTCTCTCAGCACTCTAACGGCCCGCTCCTATTTATCGACAGCTGGGCCCGACAAGAAAACTGGTACTTTCTTGTCAGAAATTCTGGTGCCCTTAAAAGTTTGGTATTGAATAATTGTTGTTATCATCTCTAAAAATTTTATCGTATTCAAATTCATACCCATATTTATTACGAATTTTGTAACATTTATTTGAAAATAAGACAGTCGACTTTCCTTGTCTTCAAATTTTGACTTTGCTTGTTTAAAAATGCTCTACAAAAAACATCTGTAATAGTTATCAGAGGTGTATGTTCAGATGACGTAGAATGTCGAAACTACGTTAAAGTCGAATTCAAAAGATAGGTCTTTCACGTTTTAAGAAAGATTTGTCTTAATCGTCACGCTTGGCAGGCGGGTTGATAACCGCAGGTGCTGGTCTGGTGCGGTCTGGTTTTTACATATGACGTAAACGAGATGGCAGAATCCACACAGATTTTTTTGGATTTTCCCATATTCGCTTCTGTATGCGTTGGAACTGCCTCCTTAATTTAGTTGTCGTAAAAGGAATTGCTGATCATGAGATCCTGATTTCGAATCCCGGGTCGGGCCAAAATCTGTTATTAGGTTTTTCTCGTAAAATATTCTCAATAGCAGCCCAGAGTCAAGAAGTTGTCGGTGTTTCACCCCCGTGCCTCGATAAGCACGTAAAGCCGTAGGTTCTGCGCCTGATCTCTCTCCGGTCGTGACAGATAACCGTCCTATCGGACTATGGGAGTGAGGGAATAGAGAGTGCATCTATGCTTGCGAATACACTCAGGCACTACAATCCTCTCCTGCGCAAATGACTAGTCTTTTCTTTATAGGAGGGTGTAAACGAGCACACAGTAAAACTCGCCGGTGGTAAGCTATTCCACGGAGAGGTCGTATGCGGAAGAAAACTCCTAGTGAAACTTACAGTGGTGGACCACCAAGCATCCAGATGGTGACGATGGTATCGGAACTTTTGCCGTGATGTGCGTTCGTGAAATTTGGCGGCTGGGATTAATCCGAACAATTCCTCAGAGCACTCCCCGTGGTAAATGCGAAAGAAAATGCAAAGAGATGCATTATCTCTTCGCAGCGCAGACTCGGTCGTTGACGATGCCAGCCGCTCTGCGCTGGATGCGGTCAAGTGGAAGGAGCTGGCACTGGGGATCCCCAGCCTAGAGATGATGATGTGAGGCCGAACCTGCGCCTTGTAAAATTGTTAACGGTGTGCCAGCATGAAATACTATCCCGCTGTGCTGAGCACACCAAGCTTTTTAGAAGCCAATTAGGCCTTCTTTTCCAAGTGACCACGAAACTGCACGTCAACACGCAAACTTGTGTTTTCTGATGATCAAACTGGACTAGATCTAGTCGCCCCCAATCCGAGACTTTGTTCAGCAAAGACTCAACTTCAGACACAAGTTTGTTCCGGTACTCGGCGATGTTTTCCCGAGAAATATTAGCACGGCCGGTGTATAGAGCATCACCAGTGCTGTCATCCGTTTGCAACATATCATTGATATGCAGAAGAAATAGCGTTGGTGATAGCACGTAGCCTTGTGGAACACCAGCGTTAATAGGCTTGTAGTCGGAGCACGCACCGTCTACAACGACCTTGATGCTCCGATCTGCAAGAAAGCTGGTGATCCAATTGCACAATTTCTCGGGAAGCCCATAGGAAGGGAGCTACAAAAGAAGCGCTTTGTGCCAAACCCGATCGAAGGGCTTCGCAATGTCCAAACTAACGGCCAATGCCTCCCCTTTGGACTCTACTGCCTCCGCCCATCTATGAGTCAGGTAGACCAGAAGATCACCAGCTGATCGACCCCGACGAAAACCGTTTTGGCGTCGCAAATCAGCTGGTGATCCTCGAGGTACCGCATGAGCTGGCAGTTTATAATGGATTCCATTATTTTGGAGAACAAGGAGGTGATGGCGATAGGCCTGTAGTTAGACGAGTCTGAACGTTCGCCGTTTTTAGCTTTTGGATGTCCAGAGAGAAGAGTGCTTTGCGAACCGAGTACTGTGTGAACCGCACATCCGGTATGGAACACTCACACCGCGGGATGGTCAGCGGTGTGTTCCTCCCGTCATCGAGAGTCGAGTTGGACGCAAAGAAAGAACCTAGCAGATCGGTTTTCTCCTTTGCGGCATGGACCAGTGTTACGGCCTACGGCTGCTCCCTTAAAGGATCCAATCCTCAGGGGCCCATGAGCTGAAGACTTCCCGAACAGACGTAGGTCGGGCCTCAATGTGGCCACGTGGAATCTCTCGAATTACACTAAAATATATGGGGGAGCGTTCTATACTACGGCCAGTCGACCGGCAGAGGAATTAGGCGGAGCTTACTTACCTATATCCAAGGCGACTGGTCCCTCCGGAGTCGGTCAGGTCACATGTGGTTGTGTAGTGAAAGGGAAATAAGTGATGTGATGTGTATCTGGGTGTGACTGATGGTGATTGAACCTAGACCTTGGCCGTCGGCAGCAGCCCGAGCGTCGACATCGCTCCAACTTGAGGGGGCCTTCCGAGGTTGCCCACAGTCACTTTCTTCTTTCGTCACGTTGACAGTCAATTAACTCTATCGTACGATTAACTAACTTACAGAAGCCACTAACTATCGCTGGGTATAAGGTTAACTCACAAAACGCACACGGAGTTTACAGGATCAAAGGTCACTACCGTTTCGCGTTGCAACAGTTAGTTCTAGAATATCAGAGGCCGCACTAGCTAATATTGTCGAATTCACTTATACAGATTCTGAGTCGGACCCAATAAGTCCCGGGGAAGCTCTCCAGTAGGGATACGCGCCACAAAATTCCTAGACCGTATTTTTACTGTCCGCGCTTAATTATTCCGAGTTCCCGCGCTTAATTGGTAGCGTGCCAATCGTGAGCACTGCCTAAGGACGACTGACTGCACTTGGGCGTTTTTCGCACGACCGAAAGTCAAACCGGTATGAATGCACCGCGCCGAGAGCCCTCTCGCGTCAATCATTGAAAGTGTTTGGCGCGAACAACCAGTGAGTCGTCCTCCTTGTGCAGAGATGAAGAGTTGGCAGACAGAAGTTCCCTTGGACAGCCTTGGCGAGAGATCAGAATGCACGGATTCCCGAAGGAAGTTTTTCCCCAATTCTGTCTATGTTCTCTGACTTTGCCTTGGCAATGACTCTTTTGAAGGACTTGGAGGCGGAATTATACTTATTTTTAAGGGTGCTGGTGTTTACATCCCAGGACGTTGATACCTCAACCCAGGCCCGGTAGTGCTCCTGTTTGTAGCACGATGCTATTTTACAGGAGCGACTAAACCATGGTTGAGATCTGCCTCCGATGGGCACCACAGAGGAAGGAATAAAAAGTTCCTTACACTGAAGTCTCACATCAGCAACAGAATTAGCCGCGGTGACCTTAACTCGACTATTATGTTTTTTTAAATTTTTTAAAGAAGCGAAATACTTAGGTTTCTTTGAAATTTGTAATTACTAATTATTGTTCAACCTTGACGTTAAAGCTTAATGATAAAATAACATAATTGTTGTTAAAATTTCTGAATTTGAACTTCTGAACACTCACTGTATTCTTAACGCTCTTGAGTGTGATGTGGTCGCTTTATAATTGTTTCTTAAATAAGTTTTGTAAATAGTTTGTACAATCGTTCTTATTGTTTAATTTACAAAAATAAATTAAAATAAATTAAAAGTTAAATAAAAAATGTTCTATTATGTTCTAAGCTCAGTTCTAACAAATTTCAATAAAATCTACTAAAACATATCTCTAATGGAGGAAGTGCCATCTTTTGTTTAGTACGGAACTATTCACATTTATTTTTGTTATATCAGTCGCATTTTGAACGAAGATTTCTGTTCTGATTGAGAGATGTCGCTGTTTTATACATATTTTGGGGAACAACATTTCATGTGGATTCATTTAGCGCCTACATATGAAAAATGTTATTTGCATATTTTTTTAATATATTGGCTATTTTTTACACAAATCCCAACCTGTTTGTGATTAATAGTAAAGTCCCGCTGGATTTCTTGGTAGTTCTACCCAGGACAGATGTTTTTCCAAACTAGTGGTAAAAGTATAAAATGACTTTTATGAGAATTGCTTGTGATTTGTTAACAGAACTGGACGATGGTGCGTACAATCCACTGTGGGCGATGCGAGGCTTCACGCAGACCTTCCACCTGTGGAAGGAGGGCAAAAGGCAGCAGTCGGCCCCCCTCAACGCGTACCTCACGTACGTCACGCTGCCCTGGTGGAGCATCGCCAAAGGTAACAACAAGTCGACCACCACAGTACCATACGCATCCCACACGAGCCACGCTGTAGCGATCGACTCGACCGGAGTAGGACCACACTCTCACAAAATACCAGTGTATTCGATTTTATTTTGTATACGATTATGGACAAACATCCAATCCAGGCCAGTAACAATTATTTGTTGGCCATACAAATACTTGTTCCGTGCATGATTCCAACAAGCGGCACCCCAGTCAATTATTTGTGACTACACTACCAGGCCGACACAGTTATGTTTTCCACAGACTTTATAAACCATATTAAAGAAGTGAATTAACAGGATTTAGGCTTTTTTGTATTTTTTGTACTAGCTAAACTTTAAGAGCGGGCTTGATGACTTTGTCGTTTACTAATACTAGTGGTACTAGTAACTGAGCTTTGAATTGCGGCGCCGAGAGCTGTGGGTTCGAATCCCGCGGCAACTTAATGCTGCTGCTTTTCACATGGTGAATGTAGAGAACCGGAGACCCTTGTTACTGGAAACGAACCATTCAACCTTAGTCCTCACAGGTGACAATGCATCTGCATTTTGATTCATTATTGAGGATAGATGTAGATGTCTATGAGCCACAGCAACCAATTACCATCAGGTGAACTGTGTGCTCGTTTATCACCATTGTTCCAAAAAATAAACACCATACTACACTTGTCGTTACAGCCTATATAAAAAGTTCACTGCTATTCATATACGCACAGAAAGGGTATTCGCCATGGTTACCACATTTGACAGGCGGGTCGGTAACTGCAGTTATTTAAAAATATTATCATATAATACACTCAACTACCCGTATTAGGTACAATGTAACTCGCTACTATATAGGAGTTACTTATAGGAGCTACAATATATAGTACGGATAGGTAGCACCATTTTAGGGAATATCAAAATTAATACACATAACAAGCAACAGTAACCTAATGCAAGGTGATTCGAATCCGCCATTCGACTACTGTCGTGGACCACTCCTAACGCAAGCATTTAAAATTTTACCAGGAGTGCTTAAAGGGAATGTTAGTAATGTTAATTGCATCGCTGGAAATTTTTATTTAAAAAATAAAAATTAAATTGGCAAACTGCGGCTGCCAACCCGCCAGCTAAGCTTGTTGTACGTGGTAGAGCCATGCTGCAGCTATATTATAGTTGTAGCACGAATGGGTCGGCTCGACCGAGATAGGACCACGTTCTCACAGAATACCAGCGTAAAATAGCACCTCAATACTGCTGGTTTCGTATGGTGAGTGTAGAGAACCGGAGACAATTTTTACTGGGAAAGAGGCATTCCATCTTAGTCCTCACGGCTGACAACGCATCTGCATTTTGATTCGCAAGTGAGGACAGATGTAGATGTATATGGGCCACAGCAACCATTTACCATCAGGTGGACTGTGTGCTCGTTTGTCACCCTATCCTATAAAAAAAAAACTTGGATACGTATTTACCATGTGCCACCCAGGAATAATGGCATCATGATTAATAATAACCCCTAGGATTGAGGTGATCGCTACCATACCGTTTTTAAATGTTTTCATACTTAATTGTACAAAATATTATATTGTGAATTATTATTAGTAATTTTTGTATTTGTTTTGTGACGTCTGTCGCATTTTGAACGAACATTTCTGTTCTGATTGAAAGATGTCGCTGTTTTATACATATTTTGAGATAAAAGACATTGTACTCATTTAGTTTAGCGGCTTATAAAATATTATTCTAATATTTTTATTTAATTTATCGGCTTAATAAAAATATCCCAATTTGTTCATGACTAAAGTTCTGCCGGGTTTCGTGCTGGTTCTTCCCAGTACAGAGGTTTTTTCCCGAACCAATGGTAAAACTTAAATGACTTTTAATAAATATTCTTGTATTATATAGAATTAAAATGATTCCATCTTGTTCTGTTCCATTTCTTGGAGGATACCTATATTCACCTTGGATTTGTAAAAAAACTGTAATTATGATGATGACGGTGATCATTTTCAAAATGAGCCGCTGGACATATCTAAGCTTTGTTTTGATTGTAGAAACCTATTTACCATAGTCCCTCAGCAGTGGATTTGTGAAAAGCTGTAAATAAGATATTATGATAATATTTCATGAAATATGTAACATAGCTTAGTATGTGGTTGAATGGTAGAGAATGCCTAAAGGTATTAAGTCCGATAATTATACACTTTATATGCAATAAAAAAAATTAATAAATAAAAAATGATTGTAAACTGTTATTTTTTCGAAAAAAAATGTCCCGCTGGGCTTCTTGCTGGTTCTTCCCAGGACAAATGTATTTTCCGCACCAGTGGTAAATTTAACATAGAGTGACTTTCAATAAGTATTATTTATAATCTATATTGAGTGAAAAGTTTCTATTTATAATTTTATTTTCTATATCTATTCTTAATGTTTGTAATCGTAATAGGTTTTTTGCCAAGGATTTGCGTATTTAAATTAGTATTTGTGATATTACAGACATTTTGGACCACCGTGAAGAACCGATCCTGACCTTCTGAGTTTACGCCATTCTAGTAACACCCTCAACGACCAGCTGAAAAAGGAAGATCGAAAACACTCCCACTGAGGGCAATGCCCGGTGATATACGAACTCTAGTCATTCATTTCTAGCTCTAATCCTTTAAGAAAACTTTTAATCCTTAGATATAATATATTCATAAGACAAAATACAACATAAATTACAAAATTGCAGATGTATGAATAAAATATTTCAACGAGGAAGTCCACAACTTTTTCTGCCACCAGGGCGGCGCCACTTTGCAATGAGGACAGATTTCATGACGGGGAACGTTAATTTCATAGAAAGGTGTAGAGATTGATGTTATTTGTGTGTGTTTATATTTTATATTAATTAAATTAGAAATGGATAAACTAAATTACTGATATTCCTAAAAGTAGAAGAAATAAAAAAAAAGTTAAAAACGTGTAAAAATAATTAAAGATCACAACATCGAGGGATTGTTTTGTGTACACACATACACTAGAAACCGAAAAACTTTTATTTAAAAAGCAAACTTTCAATGATGATGGCTCTGTGTGACCATTTCCGTGATAAATAAAATCACTTCAGTCCCAACTAGGGACATCTGGTGAATGTAAGATTATTAGTCCTCATTGTTTAACTTTTATATTCAGTCAGGGTATAATTCACTCGATGGATAACTTTTGTCTGACGATTGCAAAAATTAACTCTAATTTATTATAATTATTTAGATACCATGGACTACTAAGTAATACTAGTGACTATAATAGGCATGAACACATTTTAAAACAGAAAGTACAGACTTCTGAAAAAAAAATATAATTATCTCAGGGATGAAACCGATATGGACAAAGTTTTAAAGTAAAACATTATTTGAATACAAAATTGCATTCAAATCGTTGAGCAGTTTACAAGAAACGAATTACATACATAAGAATGTACAAGATAGTCTGTATCACATCATCATCTAATTATCATCATCACCTACATAAGAATCAGTCATATAACATAAGAATGTTCACGAACTTATTATATGTATAAATTAACTTTTTCATAATACGTCTTGGTAGTGAAAGTTCGGTGTGGCAGAAGAAGGAAAAGAATTTTTGTAGAATAAGGGTGACAAACGAGCACACAGTCCACATGATGGTAAGTGGATGCTGTGGCCTATAGACATCTACATTTATCCTCGATTAACATTCAAAATGCAAATGGAATGCCTCGTATTCGGTAAAATGGGTCTCCGGTTCTAGAGAACTGTTTCATATGGTGAGTGTAGACACTCATCATACGAAACACACATCATATTTCACACTGGTATTCTGTGAAGAGTGAGGTAAATATGAAATACAGCTCGCTGTCAGTGAAGTGATTCAGTTTGAATGCCTTACAAAGCGACAAATCCATTTAGTTTTTATTAAATAGTTCATTTTGTAGTTAAATTGTGATTTTAGACTTTTTCATACAAATTTCTTATGCATCTATATAAATAAAAATCAACTGTATCAATCACTTTAATACGGCTAGAACGATTTTGGCTTAAATTCCAATAGGACCCGATAGGTGTCGCTGTTGTCGCGATCAGAAATCACCCGTGCAAATCTGGGTAAAATAATATTATTATTAATATTATTGAGGTAGTATGCGTCGACTTTATTAAATTTACGGTAAAAACTGTTACTATAGGAAAAACGATATTAAGATAAAATTGAAAAAAAAAATAATAGAGAAATACAGAGAGAGAAAGAGAGAGAGAGAGAGAGAATATATGTGTTTTATTTTTGTTTATTTATTGAGAATAAAATTTGGCTTGCCTAATTTATGGAACACAAAATAAGGTTAATATGTTAAAGTATTTATTTTTTAATTAGTGGTAAAAATAAATATTATTTTCATAATTAAACTTCTTAAATGTGTGATCTGGTGATTTGGCATTTAACCCGGAATAATTAGATTTTTTTTTAATTAAAAATTATATCTAATTAATGTCACACTAATAAATACTATCCGGACGAAACCAGGACGTGTCGCCGGTTATAATTATACACTGCAGTCGGGTATGATTATTTATTTGTAAGAAGCCGTGCATTTTGTGATAATGGCAACACTTAAGGAAATCATTCCATTACTAGTTGGTTAAACCAATTGATCTTGATATTATTGTAAGAGATTATAGTTTAGCTTTAGTTCCTAAAATCATATTATATTCTTAAGTTAGACGTTAGCATACTGCGTAGCAAGCTTTTTTTAATTCAATAAAATGTAATTAAGTAATCAAAATTTATTGCCTTTTTAAAAATGTTTTTAGATCTAGTTTATGATAAATATTTATTCAATAATGCTTTATATCTCACCAGCGCCTGCCAAGCGTGGCAACTATGGCAAAATCCTCTCTATGAGACAATCTATGGAATGTTCACCAGTGAAGTTTCATAGTATGTAATGGTAATACTGGATTCTAAAGGATGGAAGTGTAAAATATCTTAAAGCGCGGGAAATGCCGACTGTATAAGGATCTTTAGCCCGCAGATTCTTCGTAGTCAGTTAAAGTACGAGGTATCCATTTAATTTTAGTACCACAAGCGCTCTTTTATCCATTGAGGTAATGGTACGAGTTCCGAGTCACTCCTCAATAATCCTGTACCCATACAGTACCTGTACTTACCGATACAGCTTATTAAAGTCCACTGCTGAACATAGGCCTCCCCTATAGATTGCCTCATAGGGGGATATTTGCCATACCTATCAAACTTGGCAAGCGGGTTGGCAACAACAGTTTTTTATATTTAGTCGTTATTAGGAAGACGCTGCTGCCCATCTCCTGATTTGTTTCCCTCTGTCACCTGTTACGACACCCACGGGATGATATGGGGTAGTGGATATTCTTACACCGCCACTACATGGTATTCCAGCCCATTGAGCAGCGCAACATTTTTGAATTATTTTTCCCTTTTTACTCGACTGTCCCAGAACGAGGGTAATGTTTTTCGAGAGTATGTATGTATGTATATTTATTAAGCCTAAAAGACTTAATGGATTTTAACATATTGTGTCGTTAGATCCGTCTTAGTAGTAGTCAGGATAACATAGGCTACAAAATTTTTCTCTTTTCAGTAACGGTATGAGGTTGCCACTCGAGAACCTTTCTTCCCATAATCCAATTCTAAATGTTTCCTATTGAATTGATTTAAAGTTAATGCAACTTCACGTTATAACGAACATGTTTATTAATCGATAGTAATACATCTTGTGATGGTGTGGTATGCAACAAGTTATTCTAAACATGTTATGCGACCGAAATGTTTATTTTTGTATTGTATTCAACTGCACTATGTGTTAGGTAGTAACTATGAATGGAATTAATGTAATAAGCTTAGTGTTTGTATTAAGAGGAAATTATATTGCCTTGTGTATAATTAATAAAGTCGGGATTTTTATAGTAAGATTGAATTAACATATAACTGGAATCACAATTAGCCACATAAGGATTTTGACTTGAATATAATTTATATGAGTTGACATAGCTAGTGTTAGAAAATAAATTGTAAGGTACGATTCAGAACTGACGTAACGTGTCATAATTAATCGGTACGGATTGAAGCGAAATTTAATAAAATCGAAACAATATTTATTTACGATTAATTGCCTTGTAGTGGCGGCCAAAAATCTTAACAACAGCTGAGCCACCTGCATCCACCGACTTCTTGCATATCTTACAAGGTCTTAACTCCATCCACAAAGTCTAAAGATGTAAAATATCCGATCGGGCGTCGGCCAGAATTATCAAATATGCGATATGTCTGGTACTGCGATCGTCGATCCAGGCACCTAATTAGCACCTGCTAAGCGTGATGATTAAGGTCGTCCCTCCCTAAGGGACAATTAAGGTACTCCCTAGAACAGCAGATGCCCATGTCTGACACTGGATGGACTTAGCCGCGAAGCACAAGCTTAAGCAGTTTTGCGGTTCTTTGTACAATCCGTGGTATGCATTCTTTTTTTTTATAGGATAAGGGTGACAAACGAGCACACAGTCCACCTGATTGTAAGTGGATGCTGTGGCTCATAGACATAATCTACATGTATCTTCGGTTGAGAATCAAAATGCAGATGCGTTGTCACCTGTGAGCACTAAGATAGAATGCCTCGTTTCCATTAACAAGAGTTCGGTTCTCTACACCCACCACACGAAACACAGTAACATTAAGCTGTTGTTTTACGCTGGCATTCTGTGAGAGCTTGGTCCTAACCCGGTCGAGCAGACCTATTTGTGCTACACTACATAGCTGCAGTGTGGCTCTACCACATGAATACTGACTTATGACTGCTGCCGCAGATCACGCACAGTATGAGCCACTACGACAGCTGGTCGGCCATCATCTGCCATTCTTTTTCTTTAAATGTTACCCCCCACACTAGGATTTTCTCCTGTGTCGTGGAGGCAGTTTACAAACATAAATTGAACAAGGACAAACATCCAGATCCGGAACAATTATTTGTAGGCCATACAAATACTTGTTCCGTGCGGGATTATATTCTACCAAAGTTTTAGTAATTTAGGTTACAGTAATGACGTTATATAGTAAGTTGTACCAGAGTGAAAGAAAGTATGGAAGCTTCATACAAGCGTCTTGCAACAAACGCATACAAGGACGGGGTTAACCTTTGTAGGTGAAAACTGAAAATAGACAGATGAAATAAAGGAATTCCTGTGTTGACAGTACTAAATATTGCGTGGCAAGAGGCTTGCTTTCGAATTCTCCTTCGCTCTGGTTGTACTGAGGCAGTAGTTAAAGGAAATGTTAGTAATGTAGTAATAGCATTGCTATTTTTTTTATAACAAAATAAAACAAATACAAAAAAAAACCAGTACTGTCTCTGTACCGATGTCAATATGCTCCGTCAAGTTTGAATCGTACTTTATACTATTTTTTGAAAAACACAAACAGAACAAAAACCTTTCAAAACATGATTAATTTATCAATATATTAAGATTATTTTTATTGTAAAACTTTC